AAATTGTGTTTGTTTGGTTGACCTTCTTTCACGTCGAAACGGAGTGACGAATTAGCGTAATTTTTTGTATGTTTCGAAATTTATCCTATAAAAGGATAAAATCGGAGATGAAAGTTTGTATGAAACTTTCTTTTTTGAATTTTTTGTAGTTTTAGCGCGAGCGAAGCCACGGGTTCTTCTAGTAGTCTATATATTCCACCGTTCAAACGTACCTAGCGAGTCAATATATACCTACGATTAAAAAGGCATAGACAAAACAGTTCAGTGCCGTTTTCTTCTCTGTTAGTCCACTGAATTTCTTTTTATTTAGCAATTGTCGAGCTTTCTTGTCAGCATTTTTTTTTTCGTGAACAGTTTTTTTTATATAGATAGGTTAAACTTCTATTCATATAATATGTCGTCGAAGGTCGAACTACAGCCACTTGACTAGTTCAAATAAAGCTAATAGAAGCTTTCATACACAATATCTAATGAAACATTAAATTTCTAATAGTTATATGTATAGGATAAAACAAACAAATATATAATACAACTGGTATATAATATCAAACCCAAACTCAGGTCTGGCGTTATCTGTTATCGTTGTGCAAACACGATACCCTATCTACCCTACTAACGGCTATTCAGTGCATTGGCGGGGCTGATTTAACCGACTTTGAAAATGGAAAAGATTTTAAATAAAACTTTGTATTTCGGTTCCCGACGTTTCTGGAGAGACTGTCTCTCCCGTGACCATGATTGCTGTAAAGCATTCGAAACGTCGGGAACCAAAAATCAAAATAAATCCGTGAAATAATCCGAAAAGATAGTTTTATTTAAAATGTCAAATATTCGAGTAAATCTAAGAAAGTATTAATTTAAGGAGATATATATTTTGATTTTAATGTTAAATGTATGATATTTATTTTTTAGAATGACCTCTTGGTGTAGTGTTGTACTAGTTAGTAGCTTTAGCAGTACTACTAGTGGGATCTTAGCATCTGTATTATTGTCTTTAAGTTTTTTGTTTAATTATATTGAACATAACACACTGTTTCATAGTTTATATCGTGAATAAATTAAAATAACCATTGAATTTCCTTATAATTTCAATTTTGTGAATTTAGGTACAGAGACGTTGTAGTTGTATGTGCGTAGAAAAGTAAATGATATAAGTTATAACAATTGCCTCAATAAATGATCAGGCGAATCTAAGACATTTTTTGTTTATCATTGGGAAATGCATTTATGGATACCACCTGCATACATACAGGTGGTCATGTTGGACTAACCAGCCAGAAAAGCCAATATAACACACTAAAACCCAATAGAATAAACCCGTCTTAATGGAACGTCGCAGGATCCTAACTGTAGCTTACTCCATAGTGGCCATAGTGTTATTCCAGGCTAAATTCCGTATGGTAAAGTAAATTTCATCAAAATCCGTCCAGCAGTTTCTTCATGGAGGAGTGATAAAAACAAACGACAACCTTTCGCATTAATAATAGTAACCCGATTTATGTAAGACCACTCTTGAAACATAACTTAAAATAAAAAAAATAACTATTAATTCCATTCACAGTACCTACCTTACTATAAGCGCTACATATCACATGAAAAACAAAAAAAATAGATCCAAATATATTCTCCTCCCTTTTTAAGGTCGGTTAAAACAAATTTTCATACTTCCGACTAACAAATCGTTATGCGACCTCACGTGTCCATCTGTCCGTCTGGCACAACTTATCTTCTTTCAATCTACTAGACAAAAGGGGTTAAAAATTTGTTTATATAATTGTATTTAATTGTATTGTACATTGTACATATATGTGATGCAGGAACTGCAGGGTCAATAAAGGAATCCATATATAGGGGACTAGCAATGCCCGCGGCTCCGCCCGCGTTCAGGCGACCAAAAAAAAATTCTTAGGTTTTACATATTAGTATACTCTTACATTGATTGCAGTTTTTGTATTTTTTCTCAGAAATGAGATATTTTCCCAGGGTAAAAAGTATCCTATATGTTGACCCGGATAACCAGCTATCACCATACCAAATTTCATCAAAACCCCTCCAGTGGTTTTTCTGTGATGCGGTAACAGACAGACAAACAAAAATTCTAAAAACGATAGATTCGGCCTCTGTATCGAGAATAATGTTTATTTCAATAAGATTTTTCAAAAAATATTTGATGTACAGATTCGGCTTAGTTACAATTTCATTATATGTATAGATAATCCTGTACAAATAAAAAAAAACATGTGTGTGTACATATACGCACGTAATAAGTTATACTAAAAAAATAACTAAAGATTTCATCCCGTATGTCACAACCCTCTGTTTGTAAAAGGAATGCAGCTAATTTCATCATGTCGCTTTTTGGCTGTCGATGTGCGCGCGCATCGTAAAAACTTTACTCTCATATTTTTATCCAAACGTGTCAAAAGTAGTTTAACTTCAAAAAACTATTAGCATTACATGACTAGCTATGAAGGATCCCTGTTGAAAAACACCAATAGAATCCCACCAATAGAAGCGACAAAGGCCACATAGAAACCAATACATATTTATTGGTTTCTATGTGGCTTTTGTCGCTATTGATGGGATCCAATTGGAGTTTTTAAGTAGGGATACAAACATTTGTATACTATATTTATTTATATACCTACATATAGCGACTTCCTCATTTGTGGGGTCTCCCTTAGTACCTGACAGTAACCTATATGTTATTCCAGTATAGTCTATCTGTGTACTAAAGTTCCAAATTCTTCCAGCTATTTTAGCACTAAGACGAAGCAAACATACACACATATACAAACTTTGGCATTTACAATAATAGTCCTTTAAGGGTCTCGTGAACATTGAGAGAAAAGTTGGTTATCTCGTTAAAATGAAGTTATTCATGAATATACACCTTATTATTAATTACATTAATAAAAAGGTGTGGTGTAATGTAAGTGTAGACTATTTATTAAGCATACAAAAGTTATGTTTCAATCATCTCAATAAACTTGGGATCTAATAATATTGTCAATATTATTTATAACCGACAGCTAATACAACTGATAATACAAAACAAATTTCAGTTTTAATAGTATTGTAATCAGTGATATGTTACTGATACACATATTTGCTTATATCCTTATCTACATAATAAAACCAATTCTAACAAAAGATTCACAACCCCTTGTTGATTCTTGTATATAAAATATCTATACTAATAAATGGAAAGCAGATTTTTTTGTTTGGTTATACTGCGATAACTACTGAATAGATCGGGATAATACTCATACCATAAGATGCAGCCAGCGTGTTTCGGAGAAGGTTTTAGTATATGGCATGTTGGTGATTAATGTACTATGTGGGTGGAACCGCAGAAAAACGCTAGTATATATTAGATCTATAATTATTTATTGTATTAAAGTATATAAATAACTAGCAAATGAGTATAGTTAATAATATAAACACTACATGTAATAATCAAGTTTAATTGCAAAATTCATTCCTAATTCATTATTTGTTCGTTTTTTAAATGATTGTGGTCTCTATTAATGTTACATTCTCATAGATTTATTACTTAATCAATTTATACTTCATGTTTTGTAAGGCATTAGTTCATTCAAAAGTTTGTTAAAAATATAAAATTACAGTTGTTGTGTAACATGTAAAAATGATCAAAATACATAATTAAGGAAAATAAGTACAAAAATAATAGAAAGTAACATAATTTGTGTGCAAACCTGAGCCTATAATTTGATTATTATTTATTTATAAGATAAAACATCTATACTAAGAATGAAGGATTATGAGGATGTATGGATATCTGGATTATGTATAGATGTATGGATGTTTGTTACTCTTTCACACAAAAACTACAGAATGGATTTTAATGAAAATTCACAATAATATAGCTCATGTATATCAGGATAACAAATAGGTTACTTTTTATCCTGCAAAAATATAGGGTTCCCGAGGGATACATTTGTTTTTGTATTTCTAGAGGTGAAATGAACCTCTAGTATTAAATAACTAGAAAAGATTATCATGATAAATTATATATTATTACATTTATGTGAGCTGAATACAAAAGTTACTGTAATCACATAATAAATATTATAAATCTGAAAATTTGGATAAATGGATGCTTGTTACTCAATCACTCCAGAACAGCTAAATGGATTTTGATGAGATTAGGCACAAAAATAGGTTATGTTCTGGAATAACTTAGTTACTTTTTATCCTGGAAAAATGTATGGTTCCCATATGATAGATATGTTTTTGTTTTTCACAAAGCAAGGGATTGACTATCTATTCCATGCTAGCAATAGTAGTAATATTACCTTTTTCATGATAAAGCATTAAAAATGTGTTATAGTATCAAAGTGATACCTATAAGATTCTCAGATAGAATCTCAGAAAAATAAAATTACTTGGACAATCTCTTACGATCAATCCAACATTTTTAATTTAGATTGGATACACTAATATAAACTCAAATAATTTAATAAAAATTTCATAAAAAATACTTTATAGCAACAAATATAATATATTAATATTTTATTAAGTATTAATTTAAATACTTTAATATTATGTTTTAAAAATATTGTTAACACTTACAATTAGTAATTATTCTGATTATTATTTATAATATACTACATGGATAATCTAAAAAAGGGGATTTATTTGAAAAACTTAACTGCTATTGTTTTATTTAATGGTCATATGACTCCTATTAACAGATGCAACACAAGCACATAATATGCACTGTTGTATACATCATATACATATATATAACATACATATATGTATGTTATATATTATATTAAAGTATATTAAGGAACGATACATCTTTAAATTGTTTAATTGAATGTAGGCAGCGGATTGTGAAGGATGTGCAAGGACATATGCAGTATACTTATTACTTCATACCGCAGTTTTTAGCAATTACGACAACATAACCTTAACACCTTCTGTCAAATCTCATATCATATTTATCTATGTGATTTTACTATAACACTGACCTCAAGCTCTTGGTTATGGCATTTGTCTTCAAGTTCTTTAACAATATGTTCATTTTCAGAAGGTTCATTGCTTGTAGCAGGCTCAGTACCCTCGGATAACACTTCTGTAGCAAAATTTGTAATCTGCCCTTTCAAACTGCTTAAGCTTTGATTTAAATTAAGCCACGACATTTTAAGCACAGTTTCTTAAAGTCACATATCACAGGCAAACGTTTGGCATCAAAATATTATTGAAATACTGATGTAAACAATAAATAAATCGCATTATTTTGCAAATGACAAGACATTGTCTAGTTGGCAAAACAAGTTAGTTTGACATTTGTTTTGTGTTTTATTAAAACTGTTTTCTGAACTTTAATATGTACTGTTTTTTATTTTAATATAAAATCTTCCATTGATAACTGCTATTAAAATTAAATACTTTTAAGTACTTTCAACAATTTTAATTTTTATTACATTATCTGTAACTGGATGACGGCATCCATTCTGGCCGACTTGGCTTTTGCCTTAGCCCTTGACATTTAATTGGTGCTTGACGTTGTGTCATATAGCTATACAACTTAATTCACTATTTTTGTTACTTTTGTGAATATTTGGGACAAAATAGAAGCAATAATATTAAGAATAATTTATTTCACTTATATGTTAATGTAATTTGTTTTATAATGGAGCAAAATTTCATCGACCTGAAGGAGTTAAAGGTTTATCCTAAATCGTATAAAAAAGCTAAAAACGTGTTTAATAATGAGACTGATAATGAAAAACAAGGGGAAAAGGTTCCTTTAACTACCCAAAATGCAGTAAAATACCTTTTAGATGGAACTTTGAGGTTACGAGTATGCAGATACTGTTTAAATGTTACAAGTATGCTATCAGAGTTAGACGAAGTCCTGGTAATAGCAGTAAATGGTTCTCTCCATGAGGTCACAGTAAGAGATATGGTTGCCAGTTTTCATCCTTTTAAGGTGATTTAAAACTCAATCTTTTATGTATAACAGCATAACCTACTTGTATAATATAGATTCAAGATGAGTGTGTTCATATTATGGGTTATCCTTCTAATACTGTCAATATGATCATAGTTCTCTTTTTGTATTAGTATATATCTTGACAATTATATTAGAAAGAGCAATAAATTTTATAATTTCATAAGTCATAAGTATATAACTAATATTTCATAATTATATCAATTACAGGTAAATGAAGATAAAAATGTCCCAAATAAAATATGCACAGATTGTCTAAACCATACAATAGACTGTTATTTATTTACCCAGAAATGTGAACAAGCTGAGCGAGCACTGCGCAATTGCTTTGATGATATTTATGAAAAATTTGAAAAACTTGACCCTTTAGAACCTGTAAAGAAAAGAGGGAAAAGGAAACAAAATCCCAATCACAATACTCTGTATACAGAGCACGAAAATGTTATAAATTATGCTGAACCTGTTATAAACATTGTTAATGTGGATAGTTTCCCGGTATCAAATACAGAGATAAGCGACTTGGAATGTCAGAAGTGTTGGCAAACTTTACCAAATATGGAGTCATTATTGAACCATGAAAAGTCGCATCCAAAATCAATGTGGTATACTTGTAAATTGTGTGGTAAATCTTTTGTAAAAAGATACCATTTGAAAAAACATATAAAAGAAAACCATTTATTTGATGATGATGATGTTGAACCACCTAATCCTGAACAGTTTAAATGCAATGAATGCAGTCAGTTAAACAATACATTAGGCGAGCATTTACAACATTTAGAAAAACATAAATTTAAAGCTGTCTTTGAACACTTGATTGAAAGAAAAGTTGACAATTTGTGTTCCGTGTGCCTGGAAAAAGGATCTCGCATGACGAGCTTGAGTGAAGTTATAAGCTTTTATGGTGGATATCCAGATTTGATCGGTGATAAACCTATACAAAACATTCTAAACACTACAATACCCGAAGTAAGTACTATTTTTAATAATGTTTTTCGTTCTTCTATAAGTTACTAAAATAAAGAAATTTACTAAACACATAATATATTCAAATGTACTTTGTTATTTTATATATGTTTTTTTCATACTCAAGTAATTTTTTAAAATCATACTTCATCTTTTAATGTTATATTTAGTTATATTAATTGGACATAGTAGATCTAAAGCAAATTGTGACACTCTATAATTTCAATGTTTTAAATAATTTATGTCAATACTTTAAAATGAAGTAGAAGTTATTATTTCACTTTTGACATTATGAATGTTTTCTAGCAAAATTTATATAAATACAAGGAGTTGTTACTCCCAAATCAAGCCACCATTGTAAGAATTCAGAAAAAAAGTAAACAAAAATGCAGATTTACTCTTAATCATAATGAAAATGGTTCCTTGCAAAGGAAAGATTTATCTTTTCAATTTTCATATCCAATAATTGTTATTGAAAAGAAATATTTCATTTTAAATGATGATTTTATTTCTTATACATTTGCTAAACCACTTTTGGTTAATCCGTTTCGAGATTCTAATGTAATGAAAGAAGAACAAGAAGTTGTTGTCGTTAATTCATTAGAAATAGAGAATAATACTCTTAATAAGGAAACAAATATGGATAAAACAGGCAATGTAACATCAGATTATGTGAAAATAGATACTACATTTGAAACAGTTAATAATAATAATGGAAAAGTTCAAGAAATAGTACAATCCTGTAAATTATGTTGGGTTTTTAAAAAACCAACATGTAAAGATTGTTTAAATGCAACAAAATCTACAGAAGATAATGTTATAAAGAAATATCAGACAAATGATTGTAAGTTCTGTTGGTTATTTGAGAAAAGCAAGAAATGTGATTACTGCAATAAAAGTAATGAGATATTAAAAATTATCGCAAATAGTAATGAAATATGTAAATTGTGTTGGCTTTTCGGTGAGATTGGTAAATGTGTTTGTAAAGTTAATAAAGAAAATACCTTAAATACTGAAACTACACATATAAGTGATGATAAATCAAATGAATCGATTGATCAAAAATCTCATTGGCAATGTGACATTTGCTTAATTAACAATATAAACAGATATTCTTGTGTATGTTGTGACAAGAACCATGATAATATGGAAAAAGTAAATATCAATTTTGGCAAAAAATTATTCCAAAATGAATTAAAAGAGCATTCTATTGAAGCAATTAAAGAAATAAAAGATAATAAAAATGATAAAAGTATTGTGTTATTTCAAACTAAATTAGAGCCTACATATGACCAAGAAGAGGATATTGGAAATGAAAATAAAATAGCTATGGAACATAACAAATACAATAACTTACATAAGACCAATGAAGCAAATTCATTAAAAACTACAATAAATAATCAAAATGAAGATATATCAATGGAGATAGAAATAACACCTAGTAGTAAAATTGATGGTCAAACTGAAGAAAATGATGAGGAATTGATGGATTTTGAAGAAAATGAAACACAAATTGTAATAAATCAAGAAAACACAGTTAATATTGCAAATGAATTTATAAAAGGGTTCAATTTTAATATAGGAAGTGGAGTTTCATATCATAGAAGAGTTAAGAGACCTTTGAGAAGAATGGCTACTCGATTTCAGAAATAAAAAATATATATTTGCGAGATCGCAGCAAGAAATATTTCATAAGAAACTTTAAACATGTAGTTATATTAAGTATTTAATTAATAGGTGTTTTAAAAGAATATTATTTGCAAAACTTGCTGCTTTATATAGACATGGGCTATAAGAAATTCTCTTTATGTAAGGTTCCAGTGTGTGTGTGTAATCCTTTTTCATTGCTTGACCATTTTTGATAAGGTTTTGTTGTGTATCTTTTTATGAGTTTAGTGTTCCCAGTAGATGGCGATAACGTCAAAATCTTTTTTTTTTTTAATTTTACATCATACAAGTTCTGTGGCAAGACAATGTCTTATTATTATATTTTTTTAATTTAAAACATGTAAAAAAAATGGTTATTATAACTCATTTTAATACTCTATAATTCGAAATCGTATACATATTGTAATTCTTTTTAATTCCAAAAGTGCTAATGAGATTTTAATTTATACTGATAACATTTTTTATTTCTCATTATTCTTACTTGTAATACAAACGTTATAAAATATTCTGACAGGTGAATGTTATTTAATTAACATTAAATTAATATATTATAATATGTTCAGGCTTTATTAAGAAATTTCTGTTTATATACATTTATCAATAAATTAAACAAAAAAATAATATATTGTTTATTTTGAATAATATATTCTCTACTATATTTAACTTTGATCTTAGTCGTGACATTATATTTATCTGTCCAATTATGTCATTCATAATGAACAGATAACTCATAAACGTCAAAAAGTGTTACGACATAATTATGATGTTTATTAGTAATTTTCCGCTTTTTATATTTTTTTCTTTAACCTTTTTATTTTTTGTTGCAGATGACCCTTGATAGCTACATTGGAACAAAAATTTGCGATGCATGTCTCAATCACGTTATCTCATCATATGTTTTCATAGTAAAAACGAAATTTGTTAGAAATAGATTAAACACTTGCGTTAGTTTAATGTTAAAAAATCTTAGTAATGTTGACGTTGAAAAAAATATTATGGTAGAAATTTCACAAGAAAGTATTTTACCGTACTTTAAAATTGACAATTTCGATGACCTCTTGACAGGTGATACAGATGATAAATTTAACGTTGAGGTGCTAGAAGATGAGTTTAGAGAAAAGTCTGATTCTGAGAGCGATTTTGAAAGTAATAAAAGTGTAAACAGTCTTTCAGATGTTAATATAAATGAAGACAACGAAAGTTTAATAGAAAATCCAGCTAAAAACGTCTCGAAAACGTATATAAACAAAAAATTAGTTAATGGTTACCAATCAAAGTATGAAAATTCGGTCATTGATGACATTTGTAGCGAATTTTTGACGTTTAAAAAGAAAAAACCGGTAAAACGCGCCCCCTGTAGATATACGTGTCCGTTCTGCAACAAACATTTCATATCAGATTACTTCGTTAAGAAACATATATTAAAACACGTCCTCTCAAAAGAACAGTGTAATATATGTTTAAAACAATTTAAATCTAAATTTTATCTTTTTGAACACAAAAAAATGGTTCACGTATTGGAGAGTGATAGCTTTCTTACCTGCAAAATATGTGGTCGAACATTCTCGAAGGCGTATAAATTAAAAACGCACGAGAAATGTCACAGAACAAAAGAATGTCAGTTGTGCGATAAAATTTTCCTCACACAAAAACACTACGACATTCATCTTCAAAGGCATGCTATTAGATTTAATATATACAAAAGTAAAGATATTCAAACTTGCAGTTTTTGTGAAAAGTCGTGTTCAAATGAAAACGAGTTATCATTACATGTAAATAAAATTCATTTACAAATAAAACCCTATAATTGCGATATGTGCGAGAAACAATTTTACACAGAGTATAATTTATGCAGTCATAAAAAGTTACATAGTCTGTATTCCAAAGAAATTTGCGAGTTTTGCAACAAAAAATTGAAGTGTAGGAAAGATTTGGTGGTGCATGTAAGAAAGCATATAGGCTCTAAACCCCATCAGTGTCCTGTTTGTAGGCAATCCTTTTATTCAGATAATAAAATGAAAAAACATATGAAAATATTCCATGGCGGCATATTTTGTTGTAGGCTATGTAAAACGGTCTTATCTAGTCAAATAGACCTAAAAAATCATATAAATGTCGCTCATAGTTCTATGTAGCACACGCTTAAGCTCTAAGAGCTTTCAGATTTATTGAAAATTAAAAACTACCCTAACAAAGGCATTTTGGGCACAAATTTAACCATTTCCCTGTCCCATGAGTTATATATGAACATTTCGATTGTTTAACTATTGTCTATTTTGCGGACAGTTAAGTTGTAAAAAAATTAGCTATTAACACAAAAGATAAATGGATTCTAATAACTTAAAAAATAATTAAATTTTTTTTATTGTTTTTCTATTGCTTAAATTAAAATAGAATCGACCCCAGTTCCCAAGGCATAGCGTAATAATTAATAAAAAATAAATTGATCTACAATCGGCGAACATCTACATAACATGTGAAAAATTCTAGCTGAATTGATATCGATTGATACTTAAATAGCGATTCTTTATTAAGTCGGTTAAATGACTTGTTTACTGTTTTACTTCTTAGTTCTCTTTTCTATATTTTTTTTATAACTATCATAAAAAATCTTTGTTTAAAAAAAGTAATTAAATTTAATCAAAAATGCTCTAACCTATCAAATGTGCCTTTGTTCAAAGAAGGGTAGAAATTGAAAAAGAATAATATAGTGCCTATTTTGATATATAAAATGAATATGAGAAATTCTTCCACGTTATGTATTACAATTGTAATTTCAATTTAATTCACATATAATATAGAATGTATTGTACTGTATATAATGAGTTTATTTTTTAAAACTAAATTCTCTGATTTATTTTTATTGTATAGAACACTAACAGCAACCTTTTTATATGCATTAGTGTTTTCATTTAAAAATATTTTTTTTAATTCAAATTTTTTTTTTCGCCTTATATTTTTACGATTTTTTTTATATTATTAATTAAATAATAGCTGAGGAAAAACAATGAAAATAGGAACACTAGTGCATAACTTTCTTCCAAGTACAATAGTTTAAATTTTAAGCAAAGGTTTAAGGGTCAAGATTAAGAAATATATTTTTAATTTTAAGTTACAGCCAAATAAATTTATAATTATTGTATTTATGTATAGGCCAACTTGAAGAAGAAAAAGAGATATTTTTTATTGCACGCTGTTGTTGCAATAAAACCTTTTTTATCTTTAGTTATAAGCACAATTACAGATTTAATGCATATTTGTATAAGGTAGTATAATAATATATTATATTGATAAGGACTGTGTTGTTTTATTTCATTATAACTTTATTATTTTTCAATTTTTGGATTTATTTTGGTAACTGATAGCAGCTTTCATAATTCAGTAAAGTTAAAATTCTTCCAATATACATTATGTATGTATCGCGTATTTTTTTAAGTAGAACTTCTTTACGTGTGACTGAGGGGTAAGTCAATACATTGGAAAAACTGTCGCAGAATAGAGTCAAATTTATTATTATTAATTTAAAAAATAATTATACTTTCAATTTTTTTAAAAAATATTAATATAAAAACATGATAATTTTGAGAATTTATTATGTTTTTATATTAATTATTCTTTTAAAGATGAATATTTATTACTGTGGGATGAATGTGCATAAATTATACAAAAGCTATTAATTGTTGCCATGGCAACCGTTGTTATATGTCTAAGCTTTATTTAATTATTTTTTTTAATTTGTGATTTGTTTTAATTTGTGATTTGTCAAAGAAGTTTTACTTTTACCGCCCGTAGAGATTACTGGCACCCATTTTTTTTCTATAATAATGAGCTCCTGACTGATTTCGGCCATATGACTGCCAATCCGACACTACTTCTTGCGGCGCAAGGGATATTATCATATTAAAGTGCACAAATATGCGTAATTTTTACTCTTACACTTCGCCCTCTTGAAAAACTCCAATACAATCCCATCAAAAGCGACAAAAGCCACATAGAAACCAATAAATATTTATTGGCTTTTGTCGCTTTTGATGGGATCCTATTGGAGTTTTTAAATAGGGCGGTGGGACGACAGTTTAACACGACCTGTGAGAAGTTAGGCATAAGATAGAAAGGAAGTTTCGAATTGATTAGATTTGTGGAAGTTGCTTATATGCTTTTACCTTCTAGAATAAGCTGAACCTACAAACAGTTAAACGGATTTTCTTGACCTAAGAACACTCGATCAAGATTTTTCAGTCTTTCAAACGAAAAAAAATATTAAAATAAGGTTCATCCTTCTGGGCACTAAAATGCCTGACAGATAGATACACGTTAACTTATAACACCTCTATTTTTGTGTCGGGGGTTAAAAAAGAAAGCTGAAGAATATTTATTGAGAAAAGCTATAGGCTCATAAACTATGCGAGCAAACCCGCTGGCAGACACTAAGTAGTTTAATATAAAATGTATTTGTGTTATAATATGAATCACTCTATTCACACACAATTTATTATAAAGTGCCTTATAACCAAACGTTATCAGCAAAATAGCGGCTCATTTTTACTACGCCCTCAATATAAAACATTTTAGATTCATCGATACTATGTTTAATACCAACATTGTCCATAAAGGAGCAGAGGCTTTTAACTTAACATTTTTATTTTAATCGGACCGAAGAATTGAAAAAAGTAATACGTTAATTTCAATTTTTCCATCATGCTAAAGAGAAACACTTGATATCTCGCTGTGATGGTCTTTTCATTAGAACTCGGAAACCCGTTCAATTTTTAAACCGGTTTTGATCATTGACCCAAAACCGAAAAGCTTTTCGGTTTAAGGTTTAAGTTACGTTCTTTAACCGGTTTAATCCGGGAGAACAGTTGTTCACGAATTTAGGTTCCATGACCAAAACTAACCGGTTAAAATGAGTTTTTGTGCGTTTATATTTAGCGCGTCTTTGTTAATGGTGAATGGTTTAGTAGAAGGATGACTTAGAGTATATGCTAAAGAGCGCGTGATAGCAAGTATAAACTGTAAGCACGGGTGTGAACAGTCTCGAAATAGCGAAAGCGACGCTATTAGTCACGAAAAGTCACGCACGCTGATTGTTTCTCTCGTCGGTATTTATTTGGATTTATGTAATCATGGTGAAATGTGCAGTTCCAAGCTGTAAAAACGATTCACGGAAACAAACTAAAAAGAACAAAGATATTACTTTTCATCGGTAAGTAATATTATAATCTAAAAACACAGATTTTAACAATATTACACAGGTGTGAGCGGGTGTTGCGGGAGGCGCGCGGGCGGGTCGACATAGTGACAGCACGTGCTTCCCCGCCCCCCGCTCCTTACCTTCCCAGTTCCCTCATTAAGAGCTAGTGTTGTACCATGTTGTAGGGATGTACATTAAAAGAAAATATCGATATTTTTTTCGTTTTCATATTGTTGTATCGATACTTTGCGATATATCGTATAAATATATCGATATTTTTGATATATCGTAAGTCATAAGTTATTTGTTTGTATTTAACTAATCTGTAATATTAAATATTAGATAGAGATCAGGTTAATATGAGTACAAACAGTTGGAGAAGAAACAAAACATTTTATTTATTTATTAATCCCAATACTTTTTCTCTAGACCTTGCAAAAACAAAAATTTATTAAATCTCTTGACTTTCAGTCTGTTTCTCTGCCGAGTTAAAATAGCCGTTTTTATATATCGTTATACACACTAACTGTATTTAAATTTCGTAACCGTAAACAACAATACAGACAACTTTTATTTATACTTTATAGGTTATTTTGTAATTTGTACTGAGAAGTGAGAACAATGAACGAAGCGGAAGTCGGAATTCGAATTTCGGAAGCGAGTGAGACTCTCGAGGCACAGACACACTAAGAGTCACAGATTATAAAATTTTTACTACTACTAGTCTGCACTCTGCCTTCACGGAGAATAGGAGAATAGTTTGTGATTTTTGTGTCTTTGCGTTCCGATATTGCGAAGGCTAGTTTTTCAATAATTCGGGTTTACACGTTTTAATTTTAAGTTGCCATCCATAAATAAAGGAATCAATCTAAAAAAAAGAAGTGGAATGTGCTTTTAATTTTTCACGATATTTGATATATCGGATGAAATATATCGATATGTAATATCGATACTAGATGATTCGATAATATTGGGTTGAAGCGATATATCGCATACATATATCCATATTTCATGAAATATCGGTATATATCGTGCACTCCTACCACGTTTTACTACTCGAATATTTTGTAAAAATAGTATTATAAATTAAGATTATTTATATTTGTCAAAAATAAAACCTTTGAATTTTAATTGTTATACTTAATAAAGTTAAATACAGTTAAATATTATAATTAACTACCCGAATGGCGCAGCGGAAGTAAGGCTGTCTTTCATTTATAAGGTCAAGTGTTCGAACCCCGGTATGGACAGATGTTTTTGTGATAATGTTTATATTTAACACAAGTATGTATTTACAAAAAAAATGTATCTACGTAGTATATCACATAGCAACTATCTGGTGTCCACGACAAAAGCCATGTTGCGCTAGTGTGGCACTAGATTGCGCTGTCAGGGCCGGATTTAACCTTAGCGCCGCCCCTGGGCACAGTAACAAGTGCCGCCCTATTATCGAAATTTTGCATAAATGGGTAAAGTTTCGATAAAGTTTAAATGTTTTTAATTATTAATATTTTGAAAAATACAAAAACAATAGTTTTTCGAAAAGTGTACCTACTAAGACTTTCGCGAAGAAAACTTTTTTCCCGCCCTCCGAATTTTGCCGCCCTTAAAAATTTGCCGCCCTGAGCACTAGCCCCGAGTGCCCCTAGTGTAAATCTAGGGCTGGGCGCTGTGTGCTGTGTCCTAACATATTTACTTATTTTTATTTAGGTATATCTAATTTCAGATTTCCTAAATGTCGTCAATTGTCAAATAAATGGGTGACAGCAATAAAAAGACCCAACTGGGAGCCAAACATCTGGAGTTTTGTTTGTTCCATGCATTTTAGTGCTTCGTCTATTTATGAAACCAAGGGTGGACTGCGCAAGCTGGTTGGAGGTGCAATACCTGAGCTTAAACTTGAAGTAAGATTACACTTATTTTAAAACGATTAAAAAAGCAGCTTGCGTTTCGACCGTTGTATTTACGTGGTACGTTTGCAATTTTCTCAAAAATGAATGGATGTATTAGATTTTTTTTAGGTTATTCCAGTGAACGCTCTTTTTTTAAAATAGTTATCACTTCTTCAATAGTCTTTACTTAAAACTTAATCTAACCAAATTTCATATTCATTTTAGGATGAAGCAAAAGAAGATTTCATGGAAGAAAAGCTGGTGCTGCTGTCGTCAATAAGTCCACAGTTGTCAAATCCATCTACGAATGATAGAGTGCTGCTATCTAATAATGAAACTATAGAAACTATATATATAACAATGCCAGAAGTAATGAATGACAATACAGTAGCGACATCTATAGATAATGAGCAACGTGAGCGTAGACTAAAACGTCAAATCACCAATTTACAGGAAATTGCGAAACGGCGGCGATTACGTTGCAATGCTCTTTACGTACAAAGAAATCGTATGAAAAAAAAAATAGCGTCTCTAACAAAAATGCTTGCGGATTATCGTCAAAAAGATCTAATAACACAAAAACGCAAAAGTAATTCAAGTTTGGTTAAAAAAACGAACATATAAAGTGTTGACGCGGCCAGCGCAGAGTCCCGATCTAAATCCAATGGGCAATCCTTAATGGCTTATCTCAAAAGTAGATTGGCAAACGAATACGATTCACCACTATCTTAATATTTTGTGGGAACGCATACAAAATCAGTGGAATAAAAATACACCCAGTGTGTGTAAACAACTTGTAAAAAGTATGAACAGCAGATTAAGCGCTGTTAAAAAGGCAAAAGGTCTTTGGACCAAATATTAACATTAAATTTTTTAACTCTAGAAAGGTGGTGGAAAAATGAACCATTAAAAATTAGCCTTACATATAAATGTTAAATTATTTTTTTTGATTATAAATTCTATATCTAATTGTGTGTGAATAAATGTAGTTAATATTGATATACTTCTTTTTTAATTAAATACTAGAAGTTTGTTGACTCAGATCGCACCTAAATATACGTACTTGTATTTTATTGATGAACTAAAACCTTACCTATCTGATATTTACTAAATACTTACATACCTATTACTCAAACTAACACCTTACATTCACGCACAGATGTCAATCATGGCCAACACTATTCAACCGTTTCATCCGCGAGTACCTATCTACTATGTATCAATAAGTGAGTATTGAACATCAGACATCTTATTACACTGAGCGATATGCGCACTCTATAGCTTATGTAGGTATGAGTATATTCTAAGAAGGATTCATGTACATTTCAATTCAATTACACTTTATTGTACACCAAGAAAAAGATACAAACAAAATTTCATAAAGACAACTAAGAAAAAATGTACAACAGGCGGCCTTATCGCTAAAACTTAAAAGCGATCTTTTCCAGGCAACCTCGAGGTGGAGGAGTAAGTTTTTTAAGTACGGTAGGCGTTGTACACGAACACTTTAATTGATACACATAAATAAATATTAAGTACATAAAATAAATACAACTAAACAGAAATCCATATATACATACAAATATACCTACATAAATACATACTCATCTACATACATACATAAGAGTGTAATGGAACTTTTTATTTTTTATATGTAGCAATATACCTACCACAGATTAAACAAGTATTAAGTATACCTACTCTATGAACGGAACGCAACGGAATGTAACTGTCAATTTAATTTTAATTTGTGGAACTTTTTTATTTTTATATATTATTTTAAATTCAGACAATAATGGAATTTATTAAACTGTTATTAAGGCCGGAAAGAAAATTGTGTTTTTTATGTTTTAATGAAAACAATAACATGGGAAGTGTTTTTATGAATTTGGAGATTGAAGAAAAGTTTTTTAGCGCGTCGTTAAATTTGGTTGAAATTGTTAAATATTTATTCCCTTGTTTTGTAAGTAAAAATAACTTATTTTTTATAACTACGCATGATATTTTATTTGACATAATTTGTTTAAAGTAATTTAAATGTTTACATTTTTATATTTTAAAGTTATATCCACTTACCTATTATACTGTAAATATTTTGCAGGATATTACATTTCCTCAAGCATGTGAAAACTGTTCCAACCTGATACTTAAAATGTATATCAATATAAGAAAAAATATAATAAAGAAAAAAATATTAAATATCATTTTAGAATTTTTAAACAAAGAGTTAAATATAAATTCCAAGGATAAATCCCAAAATATTTATTTGAATATTAATATATCCAAAATATTAAGCTCAAGTAGAGAAATAACAAAACAACATTCTAATGAAGATGTAGACAATAGAGAAAGTAGAGAACAAACATTTAATGAACAAAATTCTGTGGAAACTACAACAGAACATGAAGTTTCCATTGAAAAACAATGCGCAGAGTGCCTTAAAATGTTTGATTCAATAAAAGTTTATAAAAAACATATGAGAGATCATAAAAGAAAGCATACACAAAAACATTATAATTGTAACTATTGTGATTACAAGAGCCTATGTAAGACATCTGTGCAAGGACATATCAATAAATTTCATTTGAAATCTCGACCCCATATCTGTCAAATTTGCTACAAAAGCTTTTACCATAAGAAGAACTTGACAGTGCACATAGAAAGTCATACTCAATCAAGGAATGAAATATGTGATGTGTGCGGCGAAAGGTTTTTATATAAAAAGAATTTACTTGAACATTTAAAATTACACACTGGTGTGAGACCTTACGAGTGTAATATTTGTGGAAAGAAATTTATTACATCAGGTCGTAGATTGGAACACATTAAGAGAACTCATAGTGAAAAGACAGAGTGCTGTTTATTATGTGATAAAAAGTTTAGTTTGACAAAAGAATTGACAAGACATATGAAAACTGTGCATTCGTCTATTAATTTGATTTTGTAACTATAATTTATTACTAAGTAATATATAAAAGGTTAACAGTATGTATATTCATTTATTTTTTGATATGTGTACCTTAGATTGCTATCTTACTAAAAACTTTCTGACAAATCTGAAAAGGTAGTTAGTTTCATCCCCTATTTAACCGCATTATAGCATGAATTTCGAAAAATGCTAAAACACATATTTATTTAATTTTATTGAAGAGCATTAATACCAATTTTCAAGTAATTATGATCATAAATATTTTTTTGAATTGTACTATAACGTGTTTTCCTGTGGGAATTAGATAATCTCCCGCGATAAAAAGTAACCTATGTCACTCTCCAGCCCTCCAACTATCTTCACACAAAAAATCACGCGAATCCGTCACTCCGTTTCGACTTGAAAGAAAGACTAACAAACAAACACACTTTCACATTTATAATATTAGCAGGTATGTATTATTGTACATGTGAAAGTTTTCACATTGTGTTTCTTCTATTTGGTTCTTTATTTGGTTTTGAATTTCAACACTTGTAATACAATGGGTAGGTACCTATAGTTCTATGTGGTACTCGTGTTACCATAAGAAAGGAGGAGAAAAAGAAAGAGGGAAGATTGTTAGGTTTGAAATGTTTAGACAAAAATAAACAGATAATTTCTAAAAAATCTTTATTAAAGAGCAAATTACAAATTTTGTATCATTGCTTATTTGAGAGCACTATACAATAAATACACTTAGGAGTTATCCATAAATTATGTCACATGTCACAATGACATAATAAACTATGTCATGCTTTGCCACGTAGATTACTTTGCTTAGACATGTCAATGTAAATCTGACATTATTCAAAAAAATCTAGATAACGCTTATTTTTTCTATTTTATTAATGAACAAAAACATTGATAATAGTGTGTGTAAATATGAAGAATAAGTACTTGTGATTACAGTTCTCCTAAAGTTTTCTTTGGAAAATTTAATAAATTTTTTAAGAACATCACTAAAATCAAATAAAAATAATGATTTAAATTTTGTTAAAGCATTTAACATAACTTACAGATTTTCCATAAGCATTGAGTATTTTACAATTACTTAATAGTATAACTAAGTAAATTCATATCAATGAAATAATCTATTATAGCCATTTTAGTTAGACCTTAGTATCTTACATTGATAGCTTATTTATAACCATGAAGTATTGAGGTAAGGAACACCAACTTATAATACCAAAAGTATCTTAAAATGAGGCCAAATCAATGAGTTTGAATAGATAATACAGTAATAAAATTATTGAAAGTATAATAGATAATTTATTAGAGTAAAATTTTCAATTAATAAAATAAAAAAAGTTCGTATAAATTCATTCAATATTTTATTCTAATTAATAGTGTCTCACGTAATAAGTCGGTATTCCTGACTTTTAATCTCCAAATTAAAAACCTATCGTTGATATTTTAACCAGGTACTTACATAAAAAGAAAAATAAGGCAGTGATATTAGTTTTTTATATTCTACATTGTACCTTTAAGGTTGAGTAAAAATTGGCAGTGTTGTATCTAACCGACTTTCAAAATATGAGGGATCCCATTTGATATTTTAATATTTTTCCTTATATTATTATAGAAGTAGTAATTCTTTATTTTGAAGTCGGTCAAGGTTTTAACTAGTAACCGGTAACTAATACTATATGGTCAAACGAATAATTTATGATGGATGTTTGATATGATGTGATAAATAGATTTTATTTTTAATGGTAACTTTGTTTTAATTTAGATGGTGTAATATAAATATTTTTGTACAAAAAAATTTCATATGAATTATAAGATAATTGATTTTTTTATCTGGCAAGAAAAAAATCACTAACTTTTTTATCTGAACTAATCAAGCATCTTCATGGCAACATTGGTACACCATCTTATTTGTCCGAATTTCTCTAAACGTAAACTCGTTTAATATTGGTATCCTTGACTTGGTGGAACGTAAGGCTGGCCTGGTCCGGGTGAGGGGTAGCCTCCGTTGGGCTGGTCGGGATATCTGGCTTCACCTTCGTAGGTAACCTAGAAATAAAAGTTTCATTAAAATCGGTCTAACTACTATTATGAATGCGTCAGTTTGTATGTGTTGTTACATGTATGTATGTTATTACTTATTCATTATGTTACTACTTGCTGCTTCGCGCTGAAACGGCTCTATGGGTTTGGGAATTGGGTGTATACTGTATAGTATACATATAAATTACTATGACCTGAATTAACACATAGGTTACTATTAAGCATTAGGCACCTAAACCAAACATCAGCAAGAAGCGAGGGTACGCCGCTAGCCGCTACTTATATTGTTATCTGAAATTATGATATTGGTAATATATATTCTGTCTCTACTGCGTCTGGAGAAAGACGAAGCCTTATATGGTAGGTACAGTACATATATTACTATATATAATATATATGTCTCCGTAAATAACATAAAAAATTTAAGTAATAGTATAAAAAATGTTTTAAAAGACAACAAAATCGAAAGTGCATAATAATATACAAGACTTCCACGATACCATTCAGACAAAGAGAGACAATAGCATTTCCAAGGAGGCTTGACGTCAGGCAGGCGGCCGATCGTCAAACTTTTGCCAAATCCTATCAGCAGTACAGAAGATGTACTGCGCCGACCCCAAGTGATGTGGTAATGGGCAGGGAGAAGAAGAAGAAGATACCTACATGTCTCCGACTGCATAATACTTTATTCCATCGTGAACTTGTTTTTATCTTTTTAGTTAGCTTTTATGCAGGCGGGTTTTTTTATTTCTATAATATATTTATTTATTTACAGCTTTTTAAGTATTTTTTAGTGGGAAAATTAGCGAGAATGGTTGTTAACCAACTTTATATCATTATATGTCCTAAACTTTTATATAAAATGAAAAATGATGACAGAAACCTAAAAATGATTTTTAAATACCTATTCACCGACACCCCACTTGTTATAGTTCGTCGATTTTAATTTTTTTTTCTTTTTCACATTATGGAATCTAGCAACCCCCATATTTAATTTTTTTATGTCACCTATCTAAGAACACTTGGACTAATGAGACGAATCTAACGATATCTTAATTAATGAAATTCATCGAGTGGTTTGGAGGATATCAGGGAATAAAGAATATTACAAACATACAAAGATAGGCGCGAAAAACATAACCCTTTCCTTGCAGTCGGGTAATTAATCAAAAGCAATTAAAATTATCAATTCATTATGTATATAGTTTAATTCACTGAGTTATTTTTCTATATAGTTATAATTATATATAGTTATTTTTCTGAACTACTGGTAGAGTCCTTGAAAAATAATAATAACAAAAAATAATAAGTGTATTTCTGAAATACCAATATCGAATAAACAATTTCAAATTTTAATTTCATATTCTTTAAATCTAATTCGTTATACATATAAACTATATATTATATAATAAATAAAACTTTTAATATTGACAAAAAAGTAAAAATAAATAAGAATAACAAAAACTACTCACCTCAGCATTAAATCCATTTTTCCAATCGGCTGTATATTTGACGATCTGGGTCCTACCATCGGGCAGCGCGATCCTATACTCCCCACGGGTCACATCACCATCAGATTTGGCGTTATGGCTGTAATCGTTGCCGTCTTCGTTTACAGCATAAGCGAAGTCGAAAGGCATTCCCGGTTCGTGGTGGTGATGGTGTTCGTCATGCTCGTGGTCATGGTCATGGTTGTCGTGATGCTGAAATGATTTGTTTAAATTAGTCGAAGTAATATAATAAATGCGAAAGTTTGTATGTGTCTGGAAAAGATAGACGGATTTGGATGTTTGGTACACAGATATGACGACATAGGATACGGTTAGCGACCTAAGGTCCTAAGGACACACGAGTGAGAGCGAAGAAAAAAATAAGTAGGTAGATATTCACTTTAAAGTTTAGACACTTTAGTCACTTTATGAAGCATTCATTTTTTTATTTTATTATTACCTTATCGAATAAAATCTAAGCGTTTGAAAACGAAAGTTTGAATGTGTGTTTATAACTTCGTTATGTCCTGGCAGCTCAACTTATTTGATAGAAATGGGAATGGATATAGTTTTGTAAATTATTAATAATATATTCATAAATATAATTTTACGGAAAAATTTTTTATTTATTGCTCTCTTGCCATACTTATTTAGTGCGAAAGGGTAAGGCTCTATTGTAATAAAAAATATTTTCCCGCCATCACAATGGCAGGTACTCGTACTACATCGATTAACTTGTCAAATGTCAACGTGCAAATAGATTTATAATATAAAATTTTATTTCCATCACAAATACCTAGTACTTTATGAGTTCGGAAATTTTATAGTGGTGGCATTAAATTTCATTGTAACGGCCTCGTTCGTTTCACAAGGGAATGCTTGTTCAATATGGATTTGAAAACGCGATATAGGATTCTCTTCTTTATGGTAAAGTAAATAGCGTTTCTAATAATGGAAGCATCCAACTTGTTTGCTGAATTTTAGTTTAAATTACAAACAAAACTCGAGTATGTATATAGGAATTTTGTCTGTTTGTTCGTTACATAAAACCTTTTAATGATTTATTCAACTTAAAATCAAAATTACATTATTTTAATTTTATATATAGGTAGTGTACCTAACCTTTTTATATTTATGTAAAAAAACATTGGTCTGGGATTCAATTTCATGCCAATCCTACCCACAAAGTTCAACGAATAAAATCTAAGCGTTCAAATTAAGAATATTTATTATGACGTTAATATTAACTTGCGCCTATCACTCTGCCTATCATTAAAGGGTCATAGTAGAAAGTCTGTGAATTTCCTTAATGAAAAGATATTTTTTAAAATTGAAAACGAACTTTTGAAATAAGTACGACATTGTGCTTCAAAGGTTAGTGCTAATAAAAACTCTCTAGCTTAGAATATTAGTAGGTAGTCTACAAATTATGTATATGTCATAGTGATTTCTGAGTCATCTAAGTTACTAATAAACTTGTATTACAGATTATTACAGCAACATCACCTCTGCACAGTTGCTTAGGTTATTATGATGGTTAGTTCAATATAAAAAAAATACGTGTGTACTTATATGTACCTATACGTCAGAAGTTATACTTCTTTTGCGTAACAGAACAAAAATAGCTAAAGATTTCATCCCATATGTTACAACTCTCTGTTTAAAAGCAAATGCAGCTAACTTCATCATGTCGCTTTTTGGCTGTCGGTGTGCGTTCACATACGTGTGTTCACAAAAATTTTACGCTCATATTTTTTCCAAACGTGCCAAAAGAAGTATAACTTAAAAAAAACTTAATATAAAAAAATAACTAAATAATTTACATATAATATTCTTTTAATGCTTTTTTTTATTTTGAAAAGGTTTAAAAATGAGAGCTCAGAAAATACAAGGTATATAATTTTACTATATTACCATATATAGTAGGTATACAGTGCCGGATTCTACCTTAGCGCCGGTTTTTTGCAATGTAAGAAATGCCGCCCCATTATCGACATTTTGCATAAAATGGATAAAGTTCAATTTTTTTTATTTTTGATAAATGCAAAAAATAGTTTTTTTTAATTATTCATTTTCTGGAAAATAAAAAAAATCGATAACGCGAAGATTTTTTTATTCATCCTTCGAATTTTGCCGCCTCTGATAATTTGCCGTGCTAGGCACTAGCCACGAGTGACCCTAGTGTAAATCCAGCGCTGATAGTAAACAAAAATAACTTTATATATGTTTAGTACAGAGAATAAGTAACAGCTTATTAACTACTGCACACGTAACTGCTGTTTGACAAACACGCGTTTTTGTCTAACCGTAATCGAACCTGTGAATGATCAAATCACAAATGATTATTAAGATAGCCTAGGACGATCAAAACGAAAGAGTTAATTTGTATTGACATACATCTCCAAGCAGCGCTTCTAAAATCTAGCCGTAACCAATATTAATTAAAAAAATAGTACACAAATCAAAAAAAAAAAACGTACTATCGAAAAAACCGTCCGACCGACTATATGATTATTTAGTCCTAGCTTAATTTATTACTTCCGTAAAATTAACTTATTTATGAGTGTTTGTTCTATGTAAGGTCACCATGTTTAACGTGCGTAGTAACACTAGTGTACCTTTTAGAGGGATATACTTTTTATATAAACTTCACTAACTAAAAAACAAAAACAAATCTATCCCACGAGAATCTATGTGCTATTCCAGATTATAATCTATCTCTGTGCCAAATTTCATCCAGATCCGTTTTGGCGTAATTGCGTAACAGACATCCAACCAAACATCTAAACATTCATATTTATCATGTTAGTATAGATTGCATAAAATATTAAAAAATGGTACATAAGTCGGATTTGATATTAAAACTAGCGTTCGTCACCAGTTACCTTTTTTTTTAGGTTATACAGAAAATTCACACAGGTGCTAAGCGAAATACGAAAAAGAAGATTTTATGTTTAAAATAATAGAATAAAATATATAAAACTATAAATTTACATAAATATACCTGTACATAAATATATACGCTTTTTGGGGGAGTCTAAATTAATCCCTTGTAGAGATAAGGCGCTTACTCACGTAAGACTTGGTTAGCCAAAAGTATATGAATAATCACCTTACCTATACTTCTAGGTATACTTTGTGTTAGTACAATCGAGATAATTAGACGGTTAGCCTGAGTTTTTAAGGAAACATGGAAGCCTCTCAATCAACTCGACTGTACAGTTTGTAAAGCATTTTGAGCTTATCAGCTTTAGGGCCTAGCTAAAACAAAAAGTGAAAAATAAGTTTTTGGATATATCAATTATATTTATTTCAGAGTATGGAGAAAAATTGTCAAGTAAGAACTACCAATTTTTATCGTTTATTTTTTTATTCAGCTATGAATACGAATTTAAACCTAATGATATTATAACTATTTTTATTTTCCAGGCGTTGAAGAGGGTAAGTTCTATATATATATTTATGTATTTAAAGTTATATATGTGTTAAGTGTATCAATTATCCAGTATCCATAACACAGGCCTCGTAGCTTATTATGGAACTAGAGGGTGCTGTGTGTTAATGTCCCAACATATTTATATTTATATTACATACTCGTAGATACCGATTTGATAAGAGCGTAGGTAATAGGTAAAATTAATTGATTATCTTTAAATAAATTATATTAAATTAAACAAATGAAATCGATATTTGTTTTAGTTCGTACTATTATATAGCATAGAATAGTACATTTTTAATACAGTGTTTTAATACTTTTAGACGCTCTACCTTTTGAATTCGGTAAGTAAAAATATTTTAAAATAATTTTATTATAATATTTTTATAAAATTTACGTAAGTCGGTATTAATATTATAAAACTAAGTTTAGGTCTCAATGTAAAAAGTTATCGCCCGAACAGGGACTTGAACCCTGGACCCTTGGATTAAAAGTCCAATGCTCTACCGACTGAGCTATCCGGGCCACATAAGACAATGTATAAGAACGGTATACCTAATATGAGGTAATAAATAGGAAATGAAGGAGAAAGATGGAATATAAGTATTTGTGAGTATAAAATACATTAATGACACTAAATTAAAGAACAAATAAGTACAGATCTATAATTTTCATAATTTGGTCCTTCTATGTATCGCTAATTAATTAATTACATTATTGCTTTACGATTTTTACCAATGGTTTTACCGTTTTTTTATACTTTATATTAATCATAGATTAAACTTAGTAGATATGGACAATATTGCCATATAAATATGTATATGAACTGAGACAAACAATACCTATTACGGTATCCTAGTATAGACGAGCGTATATGAAGAGGCAAATGCCTGTAGAAGAAGCAATGAAGATACTCGTGGCTTACTCCAAATTAAAAACCTGTGTTAAAAATTATATGTCTTTATTCTTTACGTATTATTTTATAAGGTATGTTGTAACGCGCTCGGTTGGAGAACCGAGTGAAGCTGGTTCAAATTCCTGTCTCACCTCTGATAATCTTATGTGCGAATCATTTCCAAAATGATTACCACATGAAGGAAAACATCGTGAGGAAACTTAGCAAGTTTTCGAAGGACATGGGAAGTCCGCCAATCTGCACATGTCCAGCGTAGTGGACTATGGCCTGATCCCTTGTATCGAAGAGAGGCCCGTGCCTTGCTTTAGGACGTTGAAAAGAGCTGCATTTGATATACTTAAAATTATTATTTAAAAATAAATTAAGTATAACAAGCTATCATTCGAAAATTAACAATATTCAAATTAGTTGTTGAGACATTAAAAGGTGACCCATCATATATTTGCTGCTAGCTAAATTACTTAACTTTGTTTATTTAGAATTAGAGAAAATATATTTTTTTTTATTTTATCATGTCAGCATAATATTGTACAGGTAGAGAAGTGCCTTTTGAGAAATCCGACGAATTACAAGAAAGTGGTAACGAGAAGAAATTGACAGGTGAACTACAAGTTACTGAAAACGATCAAGAAGGCACCACGATAGCATTCTCCACAAAATGCACCACAGATAAAAATATTAAAGGCAAGTAAATTTGGATTCTATTTCAATATTTGAATATAAAATCACGTAGTAATTATTCAATCATTAAAAATTAAATGTTCATAAAATTTATAAATCATTGAGGTATATCTATATATTTGCAGTGTAATATTAAACATACACTCCAAAAAAAAATATACATATTGTATACCGCCTCGTTTTTGAAGTCGGTTAAAAGGTTAACCAAAAAAAAGTTTCATTAACATTTTTAATGAATTCAAAAAAAATAATTTGCTGTGTGGCCCCTGGACAACTAAAAACGGCTTTCAAAAACGTACCTATGGTTTTTTATTTATCAAGTATTTCATTTGTATTATAATTTAAATGTAAAAGACAAATTTCATCTTATTTATTTTTTGTCTTTTTCTATTATCTGGACCCCAAGACGAACTCCTCCACTAAACCCGGCTTTTATTATAAGATTACATGTAATTAAACTGAGATATTTAACTATATTTCAGTTGAAGATGAATATAAACCAGGTGAGGAATAAACAAACTAATTACAAACGTGTTATATCATAGTAATTCTCTAGTAGGTTAGAGGGAGAAAAATAATTCACTCCACTATTCTCAACTCTCTTACTCATTGAAGAAGAATGAACATTTCCCTCTCTTTCGTTAAGATACTTAGGACTTTATGAAACCAATACTTATGCTCGAGGAGGGTGACAGAAGTTTAAAACGTATGTTACTTGATCATATTCCCAAATATTTTCCAAAAAGAGTTGATTTTAAAAATTATCTCGAACTTTGTTAATACAGTGGTCTAGATGACCTAGTATTTCAGTATATAAGTATAAAATTTTCGCTTATTTGGGCTATTATTTGAGTTTAATAGCTATAAATTTTTATGATAATTAAGGAAAATGTTATAATGGGAAAAAACAGTGCCGGATTAACCACGTAGCAAGAGTAGCAATTGCTACGGGCCCCGCGCAAAAGGGGGCCCCGCATATTTAAACCCGCTCATCTGTGCCTGAGCATGATTTTTTAAGTGAAACTTATTAAGACGTGGTATATTGAATTGCTTTGATGTCACAAAGACGTGAAACGTCACACCTTTTCCTACTAATAGACCAATCGGAATCTGCTTATTTTTAAGAGAAAAAAAATATATTGAAAACTTGAAGTTTTGTGATTTTAAAATGTTAGTAGGTATATAAGGAAATCAAATTCGTAAATGCAAAGCACGCAAGGGACGCAAAGCGTTGAAAAATAGTTATTTTTTCAACTTCCGCTTTACTGTGACGTTCTATCGAAAAATGTTTTGTACAAAAGTTGTAGGCTTAGTAGGAATCTACAACTTTTATAAATAACACTTTTTACAATAATCTCAAAGTTTTTAAGATATTTGCAAAAAACTCGGTTTTTAACTTTTTCTTGGTTTCTTTTATTTTTAATTTGTAGTATAATCTTTTAATTTCCATGAAACTAAGGGAATGGAAAAACTTTGAGATTATTGTAAAAAGTGTTAGAATTTAGAAATATCTATTAAAAAAATTGTGCAATATCGTCACTTTTCAATTGTTAGTTTCTTATCAAAATTATCCTAAATTGCCAGGAATTCTCATCTCTGGCTTTTTTACTTGTCAGAGCCTAACAGAGCATATAGGAACCTACTGTATGTACTTTTAATCACTCACAAAATTGTAACCTAAAGATGGCAAATAAACGTATTGTGGTCTGAGGTATTGAGTATTGAATTGTTTTTTTTACCACTTTATACTTAAAAACCCATAGCAGATCAAGGGCTCTTCAAAAGAATTTGCTACTGACCCCGCGCTTGCTTAATCCGGTACTGGGAAAAAAGTTGCTTATAGTTTTAGTAAAAGAATATATTGATGTATGCATAATATAAATGAAAGTTAGCATTCTTATCTTCAACAAATCCTTAGATGTTCAAAATTAATTGCATAGGATTTATGGTTTTTACATTTCAGATACAAGTAAAGGTGATTATAACATTTGTATACAATAACTAGCGGCTCACCCTGGCTCCGCTCGGGTTCGCCCCTATAACTTATCTTTTAACGTTTAGTATAGATTTCTCAGAAATGAGATATTTTTCCGCAATAAAAAGTATCCTATATATTAACCCGGATAACCAGCTATCATCATACCATGTTTCATCTAAATTCCTCCAGTGGATTTTCCGTGATGCGGTAACAGACAGACAGACAGATAGACAGACAAAAATTCTAAAAAACTATAGATTCGGCCTCTGTATCGATAATAATGTCTATTTCAAAAAGATTTTCCAAAAAATATTTCATGTACAGATTCGGCTTAGTTAGAATTTTATTATATGTATAGATTATAATTACATGTATTTTGCCTAGTACTTTTGATACCTGCGTAGGTAAGGAGTTCAATCCAGGTAACAATAAAAATTGTATTGGTCAACCATCAAACCAGTAATTGAATTTTTGTTTACAACGTCCGATCCGATAATTGGATGAATAAAAATATATTATTCGTCCGACTATCGTCGGTTTGTAAGAATGTTTACCACTTTTTTGTTATCTAATGTAAAATAAGTGATTTTTAGGCGCAGGAGTTTCTACAAAAAAACCTTTTAACCTACCGAGCTGAGCCGAGTTACTTATTCTACTTACTTATTTATTAGTCTATTCATTCGTCCTTCCTTATAATTTATATATTTTATAAAGGACGAATAGTTATTTTTTATTCGTCTTATTGAAGACGAATAGACACTCCGATATAAAATTGGTTATACATATGTGCTTTTTCAAGTTGATTTGAATAATGTACATTTTGTGTGGAGCTTGGAAGAGAAATTAACGTTTCTTTTTTGTATAAAATAATTGTCCTCTGAACTTGTCAAAAAATCCAAAAATCATCTAACGTTAAGGTAAGGGGCAAAAGAAGTTATAGATGCATCATCAGCAATAAGTGTTAAAAATAACATAAGAAATAATAGAATAATAAAAATATTATTTCGTAGAAAATCCATCAGAAGAAGGAGAAGAAGGAAAAGAAGAAACTATTGCAGATGGAAAACCCTTAAAAAAAGAAGATTCGTCCGGTAATTAAACAAATAGTTTTAATCAATAAACTATATCAAAATGGAAATAATTATTGCTCGGAGTGCCAATGAATGTGAAAACCAGACTAATAATAATTTCAATTTACAAATTATGTAATTTTAAGTAATTATTCATATTTCATATTATAATTGATTTTCAAATTAAAAAAAAAAAACAGATATTTCAAAGTTATAAGTTTACACTTCTATCGGCAGTTCCCATGACTGCCTATTTTAATTTTTTTTAACATTCTAAGAATTTAAATATAGATTGAATACATTTAGGAGTATTTACACTACATTATTTATAAAATATTTTTATTGTTTATTCCAAAACAGAAGAAACGGTAAAAGAAACTAAGGTATACCATCCACCGAAACCGACCAAACTACTGGACCATTACATCGATGATGTTTAATAAACAGCTAATTTCGACACAATGTATTTTTTATTTTTGACCACAGATAATGTAATTTATACATATAATAAAACATTAAATGCTATTTTTAATACGTACAAAGGTGTTTTTTTTTACTTTAACCTAGCAATAAGATAATATGTATCACTATCGACGTCTTTTCTTGCAAAGAAATAGGTAAAATATCGGAGAATGAGATGATATACATAGAGCCATAAAGTGATTTAGTAACGTAACATGTTGCTACTTATTAAAGAAGAAAACGAAAAAGAAGAATAAGAAGTGAAAATGAAGAAGAAAATTATATTATAGTCTGCGTAGATTATTTATGTTTAATTATCTATCTAGTAATACACAGATAATCTATGACCTGGAGTAATACATAGACAATTTTACATAATAAAATTTAATATTAAACTCTAAAATATTTTTTTAAAACGATTGGCTGATTATGTACAAGGATATTTCCTATAAAAGCTTTTAAACAATTTTCGAAGCATGAAAATAATATTTATGAAAGAAATAAAATATTTAAAACGAAACGCCCCCGGGTGGGGTCGAACCACCAACCTTTCGGTTAACAGCCGAACGCGCTAACCATTGCGCCACGGAGGCAGACACTCTAAATGCGTAAAGATTCCCAACGACATTAAAATTTTCTAAAAGATGCAGATTGCAAAAGATGTAGGTTATGATTTTCGTTAATATTATTTTTAGAATAAATAATATTAAAGATTTGTAATTTTTTTGGAAAAATGAACCCGCTACTTTTATTTACGCTCAAAATTAGTCCCATTGTTTTAAACAAACTGTTAAATTTTGATTTTTATTTTGTTACATCTGTTAAAATAGATGTCTATAATATAGGTACATAAATTTAGACAAATATATAAATAGGCAAACTTAGTAAGTTTGTTTGTAGAGGGTAATCCCAGAAAAAACTGATCCGATTTTGAAAAATTCTTTTGGCTGTAAGAGTACTAATAATAATAATCACAAACAGATTGTGTAATAAATATATAACTTTCATTAAAATATTGCTTTTTCGTTGTTTAAACGGTTGTATGAGTACCTTATTCACTCGTATTTTATAGTGATTTCTTTTAGTAATTTTTGATAGCTAAACGAGAAATTGTCCTTTTTGTATTAAGGATATGAGTATACTTTTGGAATTTATAATTATTTCTAAGCCTATATATTATATATTTTAATTTTTTTTAGAAAAAAACTATTAGGTATATTTTTATAACTATATTTTTAATATGGTCTTCTTACCGTAGGAGTAGGGCCTGGAGCTGTAGGTGGAGGCACGTATGTAGGACGCGTTGGTCTATACGTCGGCGTTGGCTGAAATCATATGTTAATAATAATAAGCATTGTATATATAACAAATATTGTTGTGGAAATTATATAATTAAGCATATATTATATATAAAAGATACAACATCTCTCAACCAACTTCGGTCACAGCGACCAATCTCACGGCAACTACCGGAGAAATTATATAGTACAAGCACGCATAAACATTAGTGCAGTCTCAGCTTCTTTCAATATCAAACTCCGGTGGGATGACCATTCTACATGACCGGTGAAAATGTACTCTCTTGGTACGTACTATTATTCGGAATTTCTTGACAGAAAAACCCAATTACTGTACTTAGCCGACTCAAGACTCGAACCCAGGATCTCTAGCCACAATTAAAATTATTTAATTATACTTTAATATCCATATGAAGCAATATTTACAATCATATTTCACACAAAATTGGCTACATCACTAAAAGTTCAAAGGAATTCCTAATAGGCCCACTCTATCCGCAATTAGTTGTCTTCAATAGTTCGATTGTTCAATAGGATAAAAAGTATGCTATTGTTTTAGATATACCTACTATTGTGATACAAACAATGCCTTGGCAATAGAAGTACACTTGTAGTAGAAAATCGTGCAAACGCCTTGAAATAAATTTCGTCCTCAAGATCACCAATCAAGAAACCAAAACGATCGAAGCTTTTTTTAATTTTTTCTCTTTGAATAAGTCTTAAATTTTAGTTTAAGCTGTACAGGAAGCTGACTTAAACGCCGGATTTAACATCTGAGATTTGTATGTGTGAATCTCATTTTAAACAAGATTATCATTTGCAAGTATCATGTGAACAATTTTCTACAATTTATATACAATTATATCTTGAAGAACCTAACCAATTGTCGAACGATATGTAAAGTCCGCAAACCAGAATTTGATCAGTGGACCATGGCCTGGTCCTGAAGGCCTGTGCCCAGCTGTGGTACATTAACACTCTTGAATATAGTAGCGGTAAAAAATAGAAGATTTATATATTAGTTTTTTCGGACTAAATACAAGTGACTTGTTATTTTAAATTACTAAAGAATGGATAAGACATTTTGGAATAAATTAAAATAAATACATACTAACTTGGTCAAGATTTGATCATGTCATCTGAACCCGAGTAACGTGTATCGCTTTTATTTGTTTTTGAATCATTGTAACCAAACAATGGGTTGCCTTGGTTTAAAAACCTATTCATACGTCAAAATAGTTTCGCGGCTATTGACCATGAGTACATATGGGAACTTATATAAGATCATTTAATTTTATATTCTTTGCATAATTTGAAGTGTGAACTGTATATAATAAAATTTTGAAGCGTAACCTTAAGATATAAAAGCTAAGAACATATGGCACAGTACCAGCGTTAGGGAAGTGGATTTGATTGAAAATGCCAAAACTTGATCCATTCAATTTTGGTCGCATTATGATGACCTCCATCCCAATATCTTTCCATTCCTAACTTAACTAAACTAAACTTAAGTCAAAAGCTCTAAGTTGAGAGCGAAATCAATTTAGTACAATTTTATAAAAAAATATATACAAAATCTCGTTAACAGAGAATCTATCAATATAAATAATAATGAATGGCTAAATGTGTTGTTAAGCGCAAAACTCGAGAACGGCTGGACTAATTCGGCTAAATTTTTTTTCAAATATTCGTTGTAGTCCGAGAAAGGTTCTTATGAAGAGAAAAATTGGAAAAAAATCACGGGAAATCGTAAAAATAGCATTTTTGTTTTTGTAGATTTGACGCTTTTAAATCTTCGCTCTTCAATCGGCAAACAATGAACTTTAATTAATTGGTTTAGTTTGTGTTTCTATTTATACTCATGCGGATTTTTAGTTTATACATTACAAACTTACAAATATACAAAAAATTATTTTAAATATTAGTTAGTAGAAAATGTACCTAAATTTTAAATTCCTATCTATACATTACAAAATCTAACCAAAATTATCTTAACTTTAACCATTTTTGAGTAAGTAAGTGAGTAAGTGAATCATATTTCTTATATCTATTTAAACATAACATTATAATAGAAAAGTTTTTGTTCAAAATTCAACCCATTCCTAAAAATTTCTGTTTTATATGTACTCGTATTATAAAAACTAATATTTAACTAAAATTATATTAGCTTTAGTAGTTTTTGAGTATTTAATTTATATATTATAATTTATGTATATTTAATTTAATTGTATTTTTATATCTATTTATACTTTATCTATCTATTTTTACTTACCCTAGGAGTATTGGGTGGGAAAGGAATCTTCGGTGTGTTGTACGTGTAGCCTTTATTCGGTGGAAGATATTCGTTTGCTGCAAATACTGCACTTATAGCTGTACACGCTAGGAGGCAGGATAGCCACATCTGGAAAAACCAAATTATTCATAAATATAGTTCTCAATAAAATCTATACATATAATAAAAGTGTAACTGATCACTGTCTGTACATGGAAGATATTTGAGAAAAATTATTATTAACGCGATAGAACCCAAAGCAATGATTTTTTTTTCTGTTTGTCTCACAAACGGCTTAAGCGATTATGGTGCGGTTTTGACTAATGTATTGTGGTAAACTTCACTTAACATTTAGCATTCGTTTTATTTCAATCGGTTCATAAATATAAAATATTAGCAAAAATAGTGATTATAAAACGTTCTCAGATTTACGCGAATATTTAACATTTTAAATAAAACAATCTTTTCGGTTTTTTTACGCGGATTTATTTTGATTTTGTAATGGGCGAAAACCAAATATCAAAAAAAATCCGCAAAAACCGAAAGATAGTTTCATTTTAAATAGTGATAATTTTATCGAAATCTGTTAAGCATTAAAAATATTTTATACTTTATAGCCGTTATTTAGCCCTCAACGCTATTTAAATGACTAAATATAATATTTCTTGAGTGTGATTAGAGTGTGAAATGTGATTTTTTGAGGTTTTAAATATAAGATTTGGGTAGTAATCCTTATGTCATAACAATTAATCTAAATTAATGATTTAGAAATCATTTTGAAGTTTGTGTGCCTCGCTAATGACAAATATAAAAAATAGTCCAAAATTTAATATTATTACCAAAATAACTTTTTTTTTATTAAATGAACATTAAAAACGTGGAGGGCGCCACTTATCTTCGAAATTTTCCAAACAAAACTAGATAGGTTTTATGTATTCAGCCATTTTTTAACGTCCCACTGCTGGGCAAAATCGGTCCAGCGGATTCGTATATTATCCATTACAAACAAACCCGCAAAGTTACAAACTTTACCTCTTTATAAGATTAAGTGTAGATACAATATATGAGAGAACCTGGCAAGTTTTTGAAAGACATGTGAAGTCCGCCAACCCGCACTTGGCCAACGTGGTGGACTATGGCCTGATCCCCGTCGTATTGAAGGGAGGCCCGTGCCCAGCAGTGGGATGTTAAAAAAGGGCTAAATAGATATATATATATATATATATATATATATATATATATATATATATATATATATATATGTACATATGTACTGAATAATATATGTACATATGTACCTAAGGAACGTTCAAAAATAGCTTTATCAGTATGATAAATGAAACACTCAACTTCTAACATATAACACCACGAAATAACCTTGCACTATACCTTCCTTCGCATGCTTACAACTAGTAGAGAATACTCAAGTACAATATGAATAAATCTATATTGCATCGCCGTTAGTATTACGTATACAAATTTACCTTTGTATGTATGTCTTCTCAGCAAAACCTTTCAATGGTGGTTTATTTAGAGTTATAATAATATGATAATTTTACTTTAAACATTGATTCAAAGGGGCTTGTTGCGTATTCGAATAAATAAAGTGACCAATATCACAACATTAATATTAATCCCTCCACGACCGCGGACACGCCGGCGTTACAGTTAACAATAGATTTCTTAGAAATTTAATTATTTTCTTAGAAATTTACCTGGAGGTGTTAAGAATGCGAAAGTTTATGTGTGTTACTTATACATATATCACTATGAAACATACATACATATATCGCTACGTCACTATGAAATTTAAGAGACTGGAGAAATCTAAATGGATTATGGCTTATTGATGACGATATCCATTATGCATGAAAGAACCAAGGCATTGGTAGTGCGTGCTGCATTGTAAAACCGGGTGAAACTCCGGTGTCTCGCACTCTGATATTTTTATGTGCGAATCATTTTCAACATGATCACCACTTGTTTTACGGTGAAGTAAAAATGAGATGTATGAGAAAACCTAATAAGTTTTCGAAAGATGTAAAGTTCGCGAACCCGTGCTTCATGCCAATCCAGCGAGGTGACACCAAGCACGAAGCACGAAGCATTGAATCCCCCTCGTATTGAAGGGAGGCCGGTGACCAGCTGTGGGATGTTAAAATTGGCTAAATGCAATACATACATACATAACAAACTATTTTTTACTGTGGATTGCATTATACCACTCGCGACGGTCGCCAACATTTTCACAATTCAATTTTTTAGTAATATACATATATCTTTTATCTAGTTGATATCTTTTACATCACAAATTCTCAGACCGTATCACATTTACCGACAGTATCATATTTTAAGTCGGTCAAATATTTATCTTTCAATCTTTTTTACTATCGTTACATTTTCCCATAAAATGCACAGCATTGTATGTAAAGGACTTTAATAACTAATGTTTATGAGAAAAATTAAACAAAAGAATAATTCGCATACAGGTTTTAGTTTGGACACGGTAATGCAATTTAAAATATTATACGGCGTTTATTTAATTATTTGGATTATTTATATATATTTAAAATGATATTGTAGCGTCTGTATGTAATCCATACTAATATTATAAATGTGAAAGTGTGTTTGTTTGTCTTTCTTTCACGTCGAAATGGAGTGATGTTTAGCCGTGATTTTTTGTGTGGAGATAGTTGGCGGGCTGGAGAGTGACATAGAGTACTTTTTACAGCGGGAGATTATCTCTTTCCCTGGGAAAAATAAATCACCCCAAAACTCGCGAACTCGCACCAATATTTTCTTGTGCGGATGTTGACTGATTATGGCCTGATTCCACTCGTAGTACAAGAAAGTCTGTGCCCAGCAGTGGGACGATAAAAAAAGGCTCAATATGAATGGCTTCTTTCTAATATTATAGATGTGAAAGTTTAGATGTTTGGATGTTTGGATGGTTGTTTGTTACTTAATCACTCCAAAACGGCTGAACGAATCTGGATGTAATTTAGCGCAGAGATAGATTATAGTCTGGAATAGCACAAAGGCTTTTTATCCCGGAAAAACGTATGGTTCCCGTGGGATAGATTTGTTTTTGCTTTTCTAGTACGCTATAAATCTTTAATACACATATGTAGTTATTTAATTAGCAATGTATTGCCTATTATACCTAGATTTTAAGAGAGATGGTCTGTACACAATGAAAAATGGGTAAGTAATAATAGTTTCGAAGTTAGACTGCACTTAAGCTTAAAGATCCATGAAATAGAAATTTATTATACGTTTTATTATATGGGTAAATACTAATGGATACCCGCGACTTCGTCTGCGTGACTAAATATGTGTTAATATTTGATTATAATTGAATATTTTCGATACTTAATTTTTGAATTAATACTTTTAGCATTGTTCTAGTAGTATTATTAGAATAGTTTTCTCAAAATCGGTTAACCTTTGAGTTATAACTTGTTAACATGGTACAAGCAACTATGTTTTCTCATGAAATCTTAATTTGTTACTGCGACAAGGAGTCTTTATTTATGGGTCATATTATAGAAATCTATGCAGTAGTCCACCATTACCTAACAAGTGTTAGGATTTTCTCTATGCCTAACTGGCAAGTGGCAACACTATATTGTCTTTGCTTAATATATAAAAATAGAATATGTCTTCAGTCGTGATTTGTAAAATGTAAAGTATAGTAAAATGTAACGCTAGAATTAATAAAGTTAATAAGAAGAAATAAAGTATTGATTATATCATAGATCCATATATACATTAATAATAAGTACCTACTATTTTAATAAAAATACACATCATCTTTAAAAGCACTTAAATCTTATATGGATTTCATGGAAATTTTCATGGAACCATCCTTATAAAATGACGGAGTATAGAAATAATAAAATAACTACTTTTTAAAGTCGGTCAAAAACAGACAAACAAACAAACAATCAAAGTGTTAACCATATTTAATTGTATATAATAGTTGTGGTTACACAAATATGATAGATTAGTGTAATAAATAAAGAAGCTTCAGATATGCGAGGGAACAGTCAAGGATTGTACGGTCTATTGTTTGTTTGTAGCAACATGAGAATTCTAATACTTAGGCAATTTGGTATGTGACTGGAAATGAGGTCTGTTCCCAAGGCTTAGGATCAACGAAAGTTGAAAGGATGAAATACTTTAAACTTAGACTAGTTTGAACCGAACTATAGATGGTTGCACTTGGGTTATGTTTTGTTTTTCTGGTTATTTTGAAATTGAACAATATATATATATATATATATATATATATATATATATATATATATATATATATAAGTATTGTTAATTTTTTATAATTATTTTATTTTTTATAATAAAATGCTTATAACTTTGTTGGTACTTTTACGCACATGGCTGTTTTTTGCATAACTGGGTCCAATTATCAAGGTAAATGTTTCATAAGGTCAACCCTTAATATTTAAACGTCTAAATATTAAACAATTTATTATTTTAGCTTTAGAAGTTTTTGAAACTAGCAAACTGATTTTGTCATAAATCAGTTAGTGAGTGAGTGGTATTTTGCTTTTATACCTATACATATAATAAAATTCTGAGACGAATCTGTACATTAGTATGAAATAGCCATTGTTATCGATACAAAGGAGAGATATTATACTATTTTTTATCCCGGAAAAATGTACGATTCCCGTGGGTTGATTTGTTTTTGTTTTTTTAAAGGCCAATCCGAACGAAGCGAGGGTGAGCCGCTAGTAATATTACAAACACAAAGGCATCTAGGGTATTAAGTCAAGGATAAAATTTGACATTGGAGGCGTTTAATGTACCATCGGAAAGCGGAAGTCGGGGTTAGATAAATGCTGTATCAGGACTTACTTTTCCCATGAAAGATGAGAGATATTAATTATATATTAAAAGGCAACGAGTAGGAAATAAAAGTATGTTTAAATATAAATTAAAATGTAAAAACTTATTCTGTTTTAGTCATTCCTCCACATTAGATATAAGAAAATATTATATTATCGTTCTGTACTCCAAGTTTTAAGTCTCTATGAACATGGTGTCTCGTTGGAAAGAAAAATGAGTTCAAATAAATATTTACATACATAGGATGAACTAATAATAGA